AATTAAACAAATTGGCCCAAAATGTGTACAAAAATAGACACAGTACTCTAAAAATAAAATGACATGTGATTTCAAGATATAGACGATCATAGCTCTCCACACATACCTTTTATCTGTGAATTGCTATGTATTCTTGCTTCAGTATCAAGGTTATCATAGCTCTCCACACATTCCCTTTTCTTGATTATCTGTGAATTGCCATGTATTCTTGGGAAAGATAGTCAAGTGGTTTCCCATTGCCTTCTCCAAGGTTTTGAATTCAGAGTAGTCCTTCTCTTAGACTTTCCTCATTTTCTTTTTAATGTCATGTCCCTTCAGTATCAGGGTGATCATGGCTCTCCACACATTCCCTTTTCTTTATCATCAGTGAATTGTCATGTATTCTTGGGAAAAATAGTGAAGTGTTTTCCCATTGCCTTCTTCAAGGTTTTGAATTCAGAGTAATCCTTCTCTTAGACATTCCTTCAGGATGTAGGCATTCATGGCTCTCCACAGATTCCTTTGCTTTATCCTCTTTGAATTCCCATGACTTCTTGGGAAAGTCAGTGGAGTTGTTTCTTGTTGCCTTTTCTATGGTTTTGAATTTAGTATTGTTGTCTTTTAGACTGGCTTTTACTGAAGACTAGAGAAATCCGTCTGCATTGCTATTTTACCTACTGCTTTTTAATTAAATTCCACGTCCCTTTAAAATGCACATGATGGTTCCATTTCTTTATTTGTAAATTGTCATGAATTCTTGGGAAAAATAGTGGATTGTTGTCTTCTCCATGCTTTTGAATATGGAATTGTTCCTCTTCTAAACTGGCTGCCACATATGGCTCAAGAGCTTAGTCTGATCCACTATGTGCACATTGTGTGACAGCTTCTCAGAAAGAGAAATTGATGAGTCAAGTTAAAATTCTGGCATTCACTTCCATGCAAAAATTATTGGAAAAGGTATAACTGTATTTCCTCTCCCACCAGCTATGGGTTAAATAGCAGAGCTTAGTAGGCTCTTTAGCAGTGGTTGGCAACCAGAATAAGTGAAGGACAACTCTGAATTTAAAATTGGTATGTAATCCTGACAGGGCACATACTATACTACCATTAAAAAATTACAGAGCTTACAATTGCAGTCTGGAGTTTTGGACATTATCATCTCGACTGATATCAAATAAGAAAGAAAAAATATTTAGCACCATAGCAGGTGGAGAACAGATGGATTCATGCCTTCCCTAAGTGTATAAGAGCAAAAGTAAACCCAGCAGACTTCTTTTTTTTTTTTTTCATTACTGATATTTTACCCAATACAAATCCCAAGAGCCACTCAAGGTAGAGCATTATTGAGTGAGATTGTTGTAAGGGAGACGGAAATAAGAGAGTACCATGAGGATGGATAGAATAGATATTGGTTGACCCTGTACTTGAAGAGACCAAGATTGTAGTTTACTATTTACATTTTTCAGACTATTGTCCTCATCTTTGTCACCATATTTATTACAATATTTTGGCCATTGTATGCTCCAGCCTTCTTCAGTATCTATCTCTATTTCTGAGATGTTATATACACTATTTACATTATTTGAACTATTGTCCTCATCTTTGTTGCTATATTTATTACAACGTTTCGGCCGTTGTATGCTCCAGCCTTCTTCAGGTGATTGGAATGTCAAACTGAACCCTTTATTTCGCTCACTTGGGTAGACTGTTCTAGTTCCACATGCCATGTTTTTAATGGATGTCAGTTATCTCCTGTTAATTCGCCTCTCCAAGTTCTCCACTGCCTTAACCAGGTGTTGAACTCTTGAGGACACATGGCACAGTGGATAAAGGCGTTAGTTAGATCCAGTGACAGGACCCAAAGAGTGTGAGTTCAATACCCAGTTAAGGCAGTCGAGAACTTTCAGAGGGAAATTAACAAGAGATAACTGATAACTGACATCATTTAAAAACATACAACGGCAAAACATTGTAATAAATATGGCGACAAAGATGAGGATAATAATCCGAATAATGTAAATAGTGTACATAATACCTCATCTCAGAAATATAGAAAGATTGTAGTTGTCAGGGAAGCATTCTCTTGGGAGTTTGTTCATCAAAATAACAATTCTTGGGGAGAAGCTGTCTGGGTGGAACTTGCGTTTTATCAAAGAATTGTGATGGGAATGGTGTGATGCTTTGCCACTGTGAACACGACGGAGCAGGGCCTAGCTGTGAAGGTCTGAAATAGTGGCACTAACATAAGTGACCCAAACATCTGCCATAGTTATAGTGATATGGTAGTTGAAGGCTGGCAATATTTCATTCTGTGTGATAGGGGTTCCTCAGAATTTGAATTTGCTTCAGCAATTGCACTGTCTGCACTAACACAAACTCTCCCACTATGGTATCACTGGAAGAGTCATCACAATTATGAAATCCTCCTTATCAGCTAGATCCATGAAGGTCATTGTTAATGGCCACTTCTCTAAATCCCATTTAATTTTTTTTTTTAATTATAGATATTTTACAAGTATATAAATTTTGAGATGCTATTATCATTTTAATAGTTATTTGGACTTCTTTTTGTTACTGTTGCTACCAGTGTTTTGGCTCATACTTTCTCCAACCTTCAGCAGGTGTGCAATCTGAAAAGAAAAAGACATTTCCCTTCTAGAGGAATAAGAGTAAAAATAGTCTCTGTGTCAAGTCAAACTACAATCATTATTTCTAAAAATGTCAGAGGATTAACTCTTTGGCATTCGACCCGCCCCATAAATATCGGCTTGCAATGTTCAACCCACTATAACCCACCCCATGTATACTCTGCCATAATATATGATGACACAATCGCAAACGCAGGAAGTCCTACAAACAGTGAGACTTTGAGAACCAATATTTATGGGGTGAGTTTGAGCATGTTGAATGCTAAGGGTTAAAGTAAATATTGGCTCTCAATGTTTGACCCATCGTAACCTGCTCCATGTTTACTCTGCTATAATATATGATGACATCATTACAAGTAATGCAGGAAGTCACGCAAACAGTGAGACTTTGACTAAAAACAGTGAGACTTTGAATATAGGGAGATTTCGAGAGCTGATATTTATGGGGAAGGTTTGAGTGTGTTGAATGCTAAATGGTTAAAGTAAATATTGGTTCTCGATGTTTAACCCACCCATGTTTACTCTGCCATAATATATGATGACATCATCACAAATAACGCAGGAAGTCATGCAAACAGTGAGACTTTGAGGGCCAATATTTATGGGGTGAGTTTGAGCATGTTGAACGCTAAAGAGCTAAAGTAAATATCCTCTCTCAATGTTCTATCTGCCTCATGTATATTCTGCCAAAATATATGATAGTATCATCACAACTAACACAGGAAGTCACACAAGCAATGAAACTTTGAATACAATGAGATTTTGTGAGCCAATATTTATGGGATGAGTTTGTGTGTGTGTTGAATGCTGATGGTTTAAATTCTTGATTTATATTGCTTTTCTTTTTATCATAATTTTTGGGCTGATCTATTCTACAGCCTTCTCCAGGAGTCCCAAGGTTGTTAATTTTGAGATGAGCCGTTATCATTACAAGAATTGTTTTTAAAAAAAAAAAAAAAAAAAAGTGTGTTGCTTTTCATGTGACCATTGTGTTTTGGCTGATTCTTTCTACAGCCTTCTTCACATCTACAATCCATACAAAAAGTTGGCAGAAATCTGTTTCTACTTATTTTGTTTTTGTCATTTTTTTTATCTTTCTTTTTCTCTTATTTTAATTTTTTCTTTTTCTTTTTAAGTAGTGGAAATCAGAAAAAGCCACAAAAAGAAACAATTGAAAATAGACTAATCAGCCCAACTGATTCACAATAACTAACTGTACACCTGAAGGCCATAGAATGGTGCAGCTGAAATGTTGTAATAATAAGAAACACTAAGAAAAAAAAAGACTTAATTATACAGTGATCGATTGAATCTGGTATCCTCATCTTGCTTGTTATAGTGACTGTTTCAATAATTATACACAAGTTTTTTTCAGGCAAATAATACTTGGTAATTACTTGGAAATTATTATACACTGATCTATTGAAACTAGTATCCTCATCTTGGTTATTATAGTCACTATGTTTCGGTCATTATACCTTCAAGCCATCTTCAGATCCCTTATATTTGGTAATTGATTAGAAATTATTATACACTGATCTGCTGAAACTAGTATTCTTAACTTGGTTGTTATTGTCACTATGTTTCTGTCATTACACCTTCAAGCCATATTCAGGTGTCTTATACTTGGTAATTCCTTGGAAATTATAATCTGATCTAATAAAAAGGAAAATTGGTTAAATAGTAGAGTAGACTGGACTCTCTAGCCTTGAGCAGCAAGCAGTCCAAAAGATGGAATCTCAGAATTCAAAACTCTGGAAATTAGTTTTCTTTCAAGGAAATATGACCAGTTCTTTGTACCACTGCAGAAAGTATATGACTCCTCCTGCTATGCTTTATCTCTACAAGAACCAGATCAAACTGAAACTGGAGTATTGCTACCATATCTGGGCTGGAGCTGCACAATCTTCACTTTCCATCTTTGAAAGATTCCATCTGCCGCATTTCATCTTTAAAAGAGCCAGATCAAACTAAAACTGGAGTATTGCTGCCATATCTGCCTAGTCCTTGCTTGCTTGCCTGGATAAAATACAGAAGCTTCTATGCGACCCTGTGTGTGGTTATTCTTCACCCTACAACCTATTTTCTCACAAACAATATGTTGCAAGCCCCCTTATACTGTTCCACAAGCCCTGACCATTACAGCAAAGGCTTGCCATGCCACACAAACCCGAACAAATCTTCCATGTATTCCATGGAAGAAGTTCTACTCTGACCACTTCTTCCCTTTGTTGAACAAACTCCCAATATTATGTTTTCCTGATGGCTACAATCTTAATCTCTTCTAGTCTAGGCTTATTCATTATCTATCCTACCTAACCTCATAAACTGCACTTGTTACTGCCTCCTCCTCTTATGCTTGTAACCGCATCATGTTGAAACACCAGTTCCTATACGATCACCAAAGTTAAGCAATGTTGAACCTGGTCAGTACCTGGATAGGTGACTGTTTGGGAATATCAGGTACTGTAAGCATGGGTGGTGTAATGGATAATGGCTCTGAATTGTTAATTGGAGAGCATAGCTCCAATTCCCGTTAGGTTCGTTTGGGAAATGTATGAATCTACCTGCACCAGCTATGAGTCATTTAGTAAGACTTGCACCACTAAACCGTTATTATCTCAAAAAAGAAAAAAAAAATTTTTAATCTAAAAATATTTCCTGGCTTTAAAAAACTGCAAATCAATTAATCCTCTTCTTATGCTTATATAACATTGTTCCGTAACTCTCTACCTCGAGTGGCTCTTGGGCCTTTATTGGATAATATAAATGTAAAGAAAAAAAAGGTCATTGCAATTGAAGGGTCATGATTTCCTACATCTGAATTGAAAGGACATAGTATTTACAGATTGTGACAGCTATTAGGGAGATGTGACTAAATATATTTTAATGTTTAAAAAAAATTTTATTCAGTATTATTGTTGTTGTTTTTATTTAAGTCATAAGCATTATAACGTGTAGGAAAAGGAGTTTTCAACAATATACGCTTTTTTTTTTTTTTTTTTTTTTTTTACATATTTATGGTTATTTTTTTTTCCTTACCAAAAAACGACATTCTTGTACAGTGTAACCCAGATATAAGAGAGTTGTCGGTACCGGAGAAGAAGTATCTTATATCCAGGTTTCTCTTATATCCAGGTTTGGTCTATTTTATATACATTAACACAGGCTCTAATTTGGGACCAGAGAAAATCTCTCTTATATCTGGGTTTCTCATATCCGGGTTACACTGTACATGTAGTTATGGATAATATTACACATTAATTACTAATTTTTTTAATTAATAACTATTTGTGCTCAGTTGTCAACATTAGTAGCTATTTGCTGATGTGTTAAATTTTGGAATTTAATGCAATAATAAAAATTTAAATTTCATCTCTCTGATAGATGTCACAATCTGTTAGTAAAAAGTAAATTATTAAATTAAATAGCAGGGTAGACTGGACTTTTCTAGCTTTGGGTAGCAAGCAGTCTAAAAGAAGGACTACTTCAAAACTGGAAAAGGCTATTCTATTTTTCAACAAGTCATGCCAATTCACAGATTATAAAGGAAGCTGTAGAGAGCCATGATTGTCTATATCTTGAAGGGACATGGCTTTTAATTAAAGTAAAATAGGCTTAATGGTAGGATAGCTTTCTAGCCTTGGCTGGCAAGTAGTCTAAAAGAACTATTCAAAACTGAGGAAAAGGCCATTCTATTTTCCAAATAGTCATGGCTATTCACAGATAATAAAGGAAATAGTGAAGAACCATGATCATTTATACCCAGGACATAATAAAAAATAGAAAAATCCTCAAATAAATTGTCATTTTCTTCCTCACCTGTCATGGAGTCTGGATTTAAATTTGTTTAACACTTACAATAGGACATGATTCTAATATTTTACTAAAAAGACGACAAAAGGCTGGAATACACTGCAAAAATATTTATTACTGTAGCATTTGTTGACATGGATTAGTCATAGCTATGAATAAAGGCAAGCATGCAGACAGACCATGGAGTTGTTATTGATAGGATTAATACTTTTAACACTGTAATTTTCTTTTCCTTTTTGCACTGCAACAACTACCTTCTTAGGTAGAAAGAAAAACCCATCACATTCTTTGTCAATGAATAAATAAAAATTGTACTTGAATTGGTATTTAAAACCAAAATATTAGTGAAATTAAGAAAAACGGAGGAAAAAAAAAAATAGGCATGAAATTGAAATTAGTTTATAAATTTGACCAACGTTATCTGTTTATTTTTTTTTTTTTTTTTTATTTCCTTCAGGGAAATGCAACCTATTTTTATTGGTGTCCATCTTTTATCGATTCTGGTCTCTGTTTGCTAAGCACCGGGTTGTATTATATCAATACAGGGTCTGATTCCACACTAACTAAGCCCAGCTTTTCAAAAAAAAAAAACCGATAGAATTGCACCAAAACTAGGCATTATTTTTAAGGTTCAAATTTATAAAAGACCCCCCACCCCACCCACAAAATTAAGAAAAAAAAAAAGTTTTTTTAATATACCCAAACCCGAGAATGGCCTAGCATTCTAAATTTATTTTTCCCCAACTTTTATTTTAGAAAGAAAAGATAATGTTTGCTTGTTTTTATCAGCAAAGATACAATGTGCTCTTTTTGTGTATTTTCACTTCTTGTTTCCATGATAATTAATAAAATAAATAAATGGTGAGTTTCTTTTTTTATTTCTAATCAAGAAAAAAAAATAAAATAAAATTTAAAAAATGTCATTAATAATAATTGTAAAAATAATGTAGCCAGAATATTATAAGCCTGTATTTGGAAAGCAGAAAAAAAAAACTGTTCACAATATTTGGCCTGTGTAAGCACATATATATATATATATATATATATATATATATAACAAATAGGAAACGTTTATCAATCTAACATGTTTCAATTTTAGTAAAGCTTCATGGAGAGAAAAAAAGAAAGAAATTCTGGTATTTTTTGATTAACCAATGAAAATCAAACAGCACAAAAGTAAAAATACAAGAATTTCTTTCTTCTTTTTCTCCATATCTCATTCTCTGGTTAAGCTTTAACAAAAGCAAAACATGTTAGATTGATAAACGTTTCCTATTTGTTCATTATCTTATCATTCTGTCGGATTCCAGTATATATTTGATCCCAACTCCTATATATATATATATATATATATATATATATATATATATATAATTAAAACTGACTGTAACAAATTCAAATTTGATATCTTCGAGCTAAGATGTATTGCAGAAAGATGGTCAGAATTCAGTGGCTTCTTTTTATTTTATTTCATATTCTATATTTCTAGAATCATTTCTTGCCAGCACTTTTTTTTTCTTCTTAGGTAAAAAAAAATTCCAGGAATAGAAAGAGTCAAGCTGTCACCTTTCCATTCACGTTTTAGTTTAAAGAATTCTTGTCAGGAAGTGGCATTAGTTTAAAGGAGGAATTTATTTTTATCTTTCTTGGAGACACAAAGAGCTGTCTATAGGGGGGCCAGGGGGAATATTTTCTGAACTTTTATAAAATTTGTTTAATCGAAGCAGTTACAAAAAGGATGCTGAAAAGTTCTCAGCTCAGCACACTTCTTAAAAAATAGTATTCTGATATTTTGTCATTAAAATATCGATTTTTAGGAAGTGGATCGGGTCAAGAACTTTTCAGCAGAACCTCATATTTTAAGCACTTTAATATCATCATCATCATCATCTAAAATTATTCCCATTTTACAAAATCAAATTAAGAATAATTATTTGAGATATCCAAACACTAGTAATATATTTTACTTAGCAATAAAAAAGAGTTTAGTAATTTTTGTTATTTTTTTGTTTTTTTGTTTTTTTAATTATTATTAAAATATTTTACTTAGCAATAAAAAGGAGTTTAGTAATTTTTTTTTTTTTTTTAATTATTATTTAAAAATGCTAAAATTTGCAAAGGGAACAAAATTTTTTTTTTTTTTTTTTTTTTTTTTTTTTGCTACAGTTAATATTTTGGCAAAATCATTTTTGTTTGAATTTTGTCCCCACCCCCAAAAATACTAATATTTACATATCTTGGGTCAGGGGTCATCGTCAAAATTTGAGAGATAGAATGCTACATTTTTCGTTTTTTTTGTTTTTTTTTTTTTAAATTTTTAAAAAAAATTTTAAACTCTACTGGAGCTTTTGAAGGATTAGAAAAAGTTTTTTCCTTTTTTTTCTTTTTTTTTGTGTGTGTGTGTGGGGGGGGTGATAGTGGAATAAGAAAATGCTAATAAAAACCCCAAACAAGTAACAACTGTTTCTAACAACTGATTAAAACCTGTTCTAAAAATGTCAAGTAAGATAAACAGAACTTTGTCATAAGGATAACATTTTTGAGATAATTTTTAGCAAAATTTAAAAGAAAGAAAAAATTAGTATTATAAAAAATAAAATTATCCAAATGAATAATTATCTTTTCATTTAATGGAAATTTTCACCTGCCAGTAAATTCAAAATTGATTACAATTTTTTTTTTTTTTAGATTCATTTTTTCCCTTCCCTCATTTTCAAAGCTAGAAATATATTCATGCAAAAAAAAAAAAGAAAAGCAGACACTAATAAGAGCTAACTTAACGACAGATTTTCAGAAAGCTTTTAAGGATTTGTAGTGATATGTCCAAATTTTCATAAATACCTCTAACCCTTAGAAAACAGATTTACAAATTCCTGCATCAAGTTTGTTCTCTGTTTTTAATCAGGACTTGCTCAAAAAATTTACTTTTTTTTTTTTTTTTTTTTTTTTTGAGAAATATATAGACAGTATTTTTTATTTTACTTGAGTCCCTAAAAATTTTACTTGATGAGTCCCTAAAACAGTTCTTGGCCATCTGTGAGGGTTTGTATAATTCCATATTTTTATTTAACCTCTGACAAAAATGTCCAATAAAATTACCTACTGTTGTTTGATATTTCTTGACTTAAAGAGAAATCAAGACAGGATTGATTTTTTTTTTTTTTTTTTTTTTTTTTTAATGAAAGCCACTAACTATAAAACATCTTTGTCGTTTTTAATCAAATTTCACCCACACATATAATCAAATCTGTAACAAAGGACAATAAACCCAATTGTGGCGATAAACTTATAACCTGCAAATAATACAAGATGTATTTAAAACAAACGCTGTGTAATTTTTCTGAATTTCTAAAATAAATCTTGAATCTGTTCTGAGTAGCAAAGTTAACAACCAAGAATAACACACTAGTTTGACGAATAATAACTGATTGTCATATTTAATGTAAAATTAAAAATACTAACTTCGTTCATTTTATTAACACTGATTGAACAATTTAATGATTTCTAGAAAATTAATTTTATATTTGAGGTTTCGCTAAATAAACTTCATCAAAACTTCAGTTGCCCACAAATATTTCAACAAACTTGTATTTATTTTTGTCAGAGTTTAAATATTTGCCATCATTCCCAATTTTTACTTTGTTACTTAACACAATG